TTGCCTCTTGACCTTGACCTTGACTTTGAGAAGGCTCGGGGCAGCCACGTCGCGGCGATGATGGTCAGATTCAATTGAACACACCACAGTGACGAAAATTCTTTTCCGGCAGCACGTGAATTTCGGAGGCCACCCGAGCTTTCCCACACCACTGACCCGGCCCGGCAATGAGATCTTGAAACGTCACCGGCACCTTCCGAGTCTTCAACTGTTTCCTAGTAGGGAGGAATAATCGTTTGCCGTCGTATTAACGCTTGAAATTACATTGAAGATGGGGCAGATTTATTATTCTTAATACGCGTTTTTGGTGGATTTTCTGCTCGGAGACAGAAAGTTGAGAGAACGGGCAGCAGTGCTTCAACTTATATTAAATGTTCACCGATGAAGATATAAGACACCCGACGGTGACTCCCTGTGAAGTGTATTGGGCGGAGGGGGGATAGCGGGCCTCCGAAAGGCTTTCTGTAACTGGACCCGCAGACAGACACGAAACAACGTGTACTCTCGAGCGATGAAGTTCCCAACCTGATCGGGGGGGGCCTCCATATTGACGATTCGTCCGTCTCCATCCCCATCGACGTACTGCATGTCCGGCGCAGAGGGACGGATGGAATCGGGCGATGCTGATATTGGGTAGGACGGCCCGGCCTGGGCCCTCCGCGTCAGTAGTACCTGCACGACAGCGCCTATTTACGCGAATGCAAATGTAAGGGAATGGATGGAGGTAAGTACTCAAAGCTATGCCAAAAAAATCGGGATTGTGTAGTGTGAGTTACTCCGCTTGATCCAGAATGGGATAGAATTATGGTATGGCCGAGCGCGGGCGTTCAACTCCATGAGAGGAAGTTGAGCAGGTCAGCTACTAGTAGGCTTATAATGCGGTGTTACTGTGCACCTATTGCTATATTTTTTTACTTGAAGCTATGAGATACATGTTTGACAGAGTGCTCCGAGGAATTTCTCTACAATGAAAATTCAGAGAAAATGCATTGCTCGTGCACACCTTTTTTTAGCACGTTACCGAGCAGCACGCAGGCACGCAAAACGCGTTAGTTAAGGTGAGGGTTCGCCTAAGGCCCGTCGCAAGTGTAGCCCACGGGCAGAGGCATGTATGTGCTGCAAAAGGTAACCTGCGCGCCCACAAGACCGTCGATTGTCCTTTTGTCGTTATAAGGTTACTAAATTTGTACCACGAGGTCGGCCCGGCTGATGGCAAAGTGCCCAAGTTCCACTTATGTGGGCTATCTTTTCATTAATGAACGGGCTATCCTTTCGGTTTTCCTGCCCAAAATGTGCCCGTTTCGTTTCCTATGCCCTAGTATGAACAAAGACTTGCCCGTCGAAGGTCCGAAGCCTGGCGGTCACCGGCAGACATGGTGATGGCCACGGGCGCTTAACGTTATGCCCGGGCGCCGTTGGCCTCATTTGGAAAACTCCGATGCCCGTGTGAGGTAGTGTGTGTGCGGTGAGAGGGACAGACGGTCCTGGCCTCAAAGGTATAAAACGTACGATACCTTGTTGAGGCCATAAAGCATCCATACGATCCCCTGCAGCCCACCAACACTCGCCTCTAACGTTCAAACTTCAGTCATATTCACTCAACTGCACCCAACTCGATGTCGAATCACAATTTCGGATTTGCCCTACTCAACAATGCCGGAACTCTCGAGTGGGCTTTTGCCCTCTACACCACCGTCTCACCAGTAGCGGCGGTCGAACTGTTCCAGCGCGAGTACGACCAATCTGTGCAAGCCTATCGCGTGATCCATCGTACAACCACTGTATCAGCCGTCTACGGCATCGTCCACATCTCCTCGCTCCCTGCCAATCTGTACACCCTCATTTTCAATACGGCTCGTGTCCACTCACCCGACGAAGGAGGACTCAATCCGGGTCGTGTGAATTGGGGATCTGCGGCATGGGCTATTCGCCTGGCGCTCCAGCTACGACAGCTCGTCAACTTCCCGTTGCAGTTCCAGGGCTACCAGATTTACGGGCATGTTACGGGTGTGCTCGTCCCACAG